TAATTGAATATTTCCTTCTATATTTTTTAGCACGTAGCTATTTATTATTAGCATTGTTCTTCTGACGTCTGATTTCTTTTTAATTATAGAAAATGCGTTTTTCTAAGGTACATAAACTTTTGGGATTGACTGTATAGCCAATACATCCTTAATATGGTCCCTCTCGCGTTTCACGTTTCTCTCGAGTATACGAAATTTTTCTCATAAGCGAATGAAGTATTATAAAGGAAAACGTGAGACACCGAGTGACCAACGTGCAGATTAACATTAACAAACGTTATGTACGTTTAATAACCGATGATCGGAGTTAGCATTGCCGATGCGATCGAGCGACACAAAGATCGATGGATCACGTTACTTGGACGAACAGCTGTTACCGCTTTATTTACTCCACTATTATTTTTTAGCCGGTGAACGGGCACCGTTGATTAGTACAATTAGCCCCCTGTTACGTGAAGAAAAAAAATAGTGAATGACGTGCGACCTGATGAATAATGCGAGTGTGAACGATCGAGGATAATTAAAGGAGGAGCGCTCCACGCAATTCTATTCAACCATCGTCGGTGATTGCGTTTCTCTCTTCTTCGTTTCTCCGGCTTCGTTAACTTCTATTTTAGACAATACTTCGATCGGTATCGTGGCACGCTCTTTTGTTTTACGGGGCCTTGTATCATGCAGGACGTGTCTGATGCCGAGAGAAGAAGATGACGTTAATTGCCACTGCTGTACAGTTTTGCTGGCTAACGACGACTACCGTCGCCGCGGTCGGTGAGAGTGAGTTTCGTGAGGTGCGAGATTCTTTTGTGAATGATCGACTATCGTCGCACACGTAGAGCGATAGACGACGAGGATGCATCGAAGCATTTACAAAAACGATCCATAGCTCTTGGCAAGCGGTTAAAAACAGTTTTATATATATATATAAAAAAAAAAGTAAAAAAATGCGAGGGTATTGAGTAGAGGTGCGAAAAGAAAGAGAAAAAAGTGAAAGCAAAAAGCGTAGCAGAGATAGCGCCGGCTGATCTGTAAAAAACACTGCAGGAGAGTATGTCTATCTGTGGTATTCGTTTTTCTGACACACCGATGTTTCACTAACACATATTTGTCGCTTTTTGTCCTACCCATTCGCCATAGCGCGTGAAAAAAGTCGCCCCGTTCCATAGCGGTCTACGTTTATCGCTCACGAGATCAGTCGCCGAGGTTTCGGCACAGTAAAAAAGTGCAGGTAAAAAACGAAGGTAAAGAACCGGAGGTAGAAAAACGGTCGGACTTCTCGTTCCGGAGTTAGCTATCGCCGTGTAAAAACAAGCGTAGTTTTTTCGGCGTTTTTTGTCCCTTTCGCACGTTCGCCGGCTCGCCGGCTTATATACAGGGTGTCCCAGAAAAAGAATTAGAACCGAAGTGAGGTGATTTTGTAAATGTATTTAAATAACAATTTCCTTTGCCAAAATACAAAGTGAGGCATGGTTTTTAAATTATTAACGATAAACACTGACCAATAAGAACGCGTGTAGGGCCCGCGCTAAGCCACGGCCGATCGTCACGATCCGAGCCAACTTACCCGTGCCACGCGCTCTTATTAGTCAGTGTTTTTCGTTAATAATTCAAAAACCATGGTTCACTTTGCATTTTACCAAAGGAAATTGTTGTTGCACCTCCAGAATCACCCATTTTCGTCTCTAACACTTTTTCTGGGTCATCCTGTATACTGAAAACTAATGCGCGTAGTTAGGCCACTAATCTGTATCAGTAATAAGTAATAA